TTAAAATACTGATTAAATATTAAAAAATTATTTTATTATTGGAAAATAATCTGTGATACTTTTATTTTTTTTACAAGGTTCAGAAGGTTGTTTATGTTTATTAGTTTGTGGTATAATTTCTACAGAAACTGATTCTTTTTGTGGTACTGAAATTTCTTTAGACGAACTGCTTTGTAGTAAAAAATTTGATCAAACAAAGAAATCCGTAAGCAATTTTTGCTTGTTTCTCTCATCCGTGTTATAAATTTCCTTAATCGTTTCAAGAGCCTTCTTTTCATCACAATTTAAAAGTGCTGCACAAATATCTCGCAAGCTATTGAAATAATACAGAATGTCTATTTTTTTTTTGAAGTAGGAATAAATTCTGAAGCCAAACACATCTTTTGCCAAATATTTATTTTTTTTGGATCCCCCATATGATGCAGAATATAATAGTAGAAATGACCCGGGACAAGTTTTTTTCCTTTTTTTTCATTATCATAACTCTCAGCAAAATTAAGAACCATGAAATTGCCTTTTTTAAAATCAATCGGTTGTGATCCTTTTGAATCACTGAAAAAATCGCAAATCATTACTCTTTCTAAAGAAAGAATCGTATTTCGCAGTTAATTTAAATAATTCCAAATCTAAATTTTCCGCTTGATTAATATATTTGTAAATTATATTTTTAGCTATCATATTTGGTGATATTTTAGCATCCATCAATTGCTTTTCTTCATTGAATCCCAAACCGCTCCATACTAATTCTTTGGACACGGTCTTGTAAAATAAAGATACATTTTGTTTTACAAGCTTTAATCCTTTTACCAATAATTCTGGATTTTCTAAATTTGGTTCATGCTCATGAATACAACCAACATAATGTTTCTTATAAAAAAATATTAAGGGATACAAAACTTTTTCATAAGCCTGATGCATATATGAAAATTATGTTTCTTTTTTTAAAAATTCATTCATTTCAACTTCTATCATTTTTGCATATTCAATAGATTTTTTAATCATCATTTCAGCATGAAGCTTTTTATTATGAAAATATAGTTTGTCTATCTCAACAAAAAGTTCTTCGGGTATCGTGAAAAATTCTGAATTAGTGTCTGTGTAAATTACCTTGCAATTTTTCAATTCTAAAAAACGAATGCCAAGTCTCAAACAAAGACGTGAAAATGCTGTAACTGATGCAGCAACTGACTTTTGATAAAATGGGAAAAATTTATATCCAGTTTCTCTATATGTGAAATTTGCTATTAACTTCAAAGCATTTGATTTTGCTGTGTAATAAGCTAACTTTACAGGATTATTCTTATAAAGTTTCATAAATCGTTTTGTCTCAGCACGGCTCTCTAACAATTTTTTACACATAAAAGGCATCAATCCCATCTTTTCCACCTGATTATAATGTTTTTTGAATTTTGTAAAAATTTGCTCAGTATGATATATTATGTTAAAAGGTTTATCAGATGTTGATGGTAATTCGGTCTTAAGAGAAATATTCATTGTTATGATGGAATTTGGGTACATTGAAGTAAAATCTAAATCTGGTACTGGACGATCATTCAGATTTTTTTTTGGATTAAGCACCAG